TTTTTTTTTTTAATAGTGGATGTTACATCTCCGGGGATGGTGATCATGGATGGTGGACAACTAAGAGAGCCATCAATGTAGCCTAACAAGTCATAGCCAAATAAGATATTAGAAAACTGAGCCCGTCAGGATATGTAGTTGTCACCTTTGGACAACCTGAAAGGGATTAGCGTGGTAGCATTGATGGAGATAAGTTCAACAGGAGAAGTACTATTCCCTACATAAATAATAACTGGAATGTTAGAAGAAGATAATAAAGACATCGCAAGTAATTTTTGTTTTTGTTTTTGGTTTTTTTTTTTTGCTGTAGAGCAGCGGTCTCATAGTGAAGAGAATTTGGGGGTTTGGAGAGCAATGGGATTTGAGGAAAGAAGAGAGGAGGTTTGTGAGAAGAGCTATTGGATTTGAGGAAAGAAGAGAGGAGGGAAGAGGAAGCTACAGTAGTTGGCAACCCGCAGCCCGTTTGCATCAGAGGGTTGAGAGGCAAATCTCTACTGCTTCCATTGTGGTTTGAGAGGTAGATCTTAGGCAGATCTCTACTACTTCCGCTGCGGTTTGAAAGGCAGATAATGCTGCTTCCGTGGTGGTTTGAGAGGATTCTTGGTGTCGGCTCTGCTTCTGCAAGAAAGGACAGAGGAAAATCAATAGTAAAGAATGTCGTCGGGCCGAGTGGCTGTAGTTCGACCCGATGACGATGCAGCTGAGGTGGAGTCCGACGGGAAAGTTGGTCCACTTCGAGATGTTAGGAGTGGACCTTTATGACGATTTGCTCGGGACCACTTTCACAGAGATGAGCGACAACAATAAAAAATGGGCTTGAAGTCTGTCTATCGATTTCGAGATAGTCAATCAGTGCGCGAGAAGAGAAGACTTACTGTCGCTAAGGAGAAAATCAAGAAATGACTCTGATATCATGTTAAGGGAGGATAAAAGACATAAATTACTGAAGAAATTATTTTATATTAATATATTCTCTTTTTATTTATAAATTTTATTTTTCAACACAATAAAAAGATTTTCTTATGCATGATTTTACCGGAGCTAATATTCTTCTGCAGCATGAATCTGTGATATTACTGCTCAGCTGCGTGTTACTTGTGTCAGGTGTACGTGACAAGCATATCTGTGAGCCAAATCTTGCATTGATTCTGGTGTTTGCACACAGCATTTTGACCTGAGCATGCATACTGTACCGACACGAGCTTCTGCATTAAAGCAGATGAAGCATACGGACGTTGAGGTTGATCTGCCACCTCTTACAGAAAAGTTCTGTTCGATGGCTCATCATCATCTCCTTCAAGTGGATGAGATCACGCAGGCGATCGAGAATAGTCTGTCTCATCGTTGCACAGTGCTTGATCGGCTCTTGCGTCAGAAGACATGACAGCCATATTCACAGTTTGTGAAAGAGAGAGACGTGTGTGTATCTTCTTTCAAGAACAAGTGTGTTGGATTCGTTTCCGGATAGTTCCGGATAAGGCCATGCGAAAGCCAAGATTCGGTGTCACTCAGATGCCCAAGGATTGCTGCAGGAGAGGGTGGAATAAAACTTGGAGCATGTGGAGGTGGATGCTGTGCTGCTGAGTGTCATCTTCATCTTCATCTCCTTCATCATCCATCGGCTAACCCTTAATCCATCCTGTAACGTATGTTGAGTAGTAAGTATAATTAGAAAAACTGGATCGGACCGAATCGACTAATCAATCAAATCGAAAAAATTAGAGACTGACTTTACGTCTAATATATTCATAAAGTAATCGTCTATCTTAAATCTAATCAATCGAGTTTTGATGTTCGATCCGATTCTGAAAACCACCATACTGAGTAGATCATACATAATAAGAGCACATGAATGATCGATATTTTTAAATAAAAACAAAACTGAAAACTTGTAGGTAAGAAAGCCCTTATATTGAAAAATATGCTTTAAGTGCAAGAATAACTAATTAAAAGAATAATTATACATAAAATTATAAGTAAAAAATAATGTGTACATAAAGAATTATGTGCTTTTACACCCTTTGCATATATTCATAAAAACATGAATAAAAAATTATGTAAACATTAGTTAGATTTAAGTCGTGTTGAGTTACCTGATAACTTATTCTATCTAGATTGGGTCACATATTGAATGATAACATTTACCAATAAAAACACAATTTAATTAAACAATATTTGAAGTTGAGCTTGATGTCACCAGAAATTTAATTAAAAACAAAACAATTTGTTGTATTCAAGCATGAGGTTAATATGCAAAGAAAAAAAAAAGAAAGAAAAAATTCCAAGAGAAAAAAAAAAGTGCTGCTGTATAAACAGAAGTTCAAGAGCAATCATTTAATCCATGATGTACGTGTGAAACAAAATAATTTAGAGATTTAAAGTAAGAAGATAAATCCAATTTCATAAATGTAGTAATGCGGTTAAAGCTAACAAGTAATGTATACTGTTCTCCAAGGATCAAAAAATTCTTTAACTTGTTGATGACTAGGAACACTGAAAGAGAAACTGCAAGACACCAGAATACTTTAGAATCAAACAAGTCAATATTAAGGTCTTTAACATGCTTTTATCTCACTTAAGATTCCAAGTATAATTAGAAACCAGACCTGTTTTTGTAGAACTCCATTAACACATTCTGAAAAGCCAAGTGTTCTAGCTTTTATGTCATCTCTTTTTCATAGTGTTTGCACATTCTGTGAAGACCTGCATCTTGTTGATGCAAAAGAAATCCTTATCTACAGACAGCAATCCAAGATAGAACAAAAGATGAATTAAGCGTGGATAGCAGCATCAAAGATTCGATTGAACTGATGAAGTGATGTGCATACGGATACGAACAAATTGGTGACTTTGTGTTCCTCTCTCTTAAGCTGCAGCTGGCTTGTCTCCTTGGAACATATCTTTGATAGATACCCAGCCAAAGGATAAGGGAAAGGAAAAGCTTACTCCAATTTGGGAACATGACCTTCAAGAGAAAGTTGTCGAGCCGGATGAATCTGATGAACATGCCTGAAAGATAAAAGAAGTCGAGAATGTGTCCCTCCAATGCTCAAGTTAGTCGACATCAATTTATCTCAAAACCAATGAGCACTACCATCAACCAAAAGGTCAGGACCTCATTCATCTACAACATATAATATCTCCCCATGCAAAACCTGTGATGATGATGTTTCTAATCTGTTCTTTGAAGATGCAACCAATTCTATCATATGGTCAGCAAAAAAGTCAATGCATCCAAGTCTCTGTATATATCTTTCCATTTCAGCTTGAGACAGTCGAGAGCAGAGCAGGTTAACACAAGATGCCAACGATATCGCGGCATTTGGTCGATCACTTGGCGTGATGTTTGTCAACACATTTGCTGCCAAGTAGCAGACTTATTCTTTCCCACATCCAGCTCCTGTGTTTCAAGTGTCCTGTAACATGTTCTCTGTGCTCACGTAAAGAGAGAATTCAAACCTTATCAAGATGCAAGGCATTTCTTGGCATCAAAGCTGACAGTGGAGTTGCCTTCCCAAATATTCTTGTATGAGTAGCCTTATCTGTTCGATCACCTGGTTGAAAAAGTAAAGGATATCATCATCATCCAACTCCTCCAAGTACCAACTTGGTCTGAAACAACAAGATGTGAGAGCATATACACCACTGGAACAGCACTTGTCTTCCCTTAAAAGCACTGGTGCATGAGGCCTAATTATCCAGTGATCATGCACTTTTTGCGCCTATATAAGCAAGACTCGCAGCGAGCAGAAGTCGAGCACAACCCGGGCATTACTGACACAGCCAGTTCTTCCCACAACACTTCTTAACGGAGCTCATCTTGGTTGCTTCGATGGAGAAGGTGATGAAGTTAGCCTCACAACGGGCGGTGGTCATCTTCAGCGTCAGCTCATGCTGCATGTGCTACAGCGTGAAGAGCCTGTTCCATGAGCTCGGGGTCAATGCCGCCATCCACGAGCTGGACGAGGAGCCGAGGGGGGTGGAGATGGAGAAGGCACTCGTCAAGCTATTGGGCCACAGGCCGGTAGTGCCGGCCATATTCATCGGCGGTAGGCTGGTGGGTTCCATAGATAGGATCATGTCACTCCACCTCAGTGGTAAGCTGATGCCGCTTCTTCGGGATGCAGGTGGTCTGTGGCTCTAAGTGTTGATGATGAAGGAGCAAAGAAGCGATAAAAGAGAATACTACAATGCAATTAAAAAGAAATCGTTTCGATTCAAGAAAAGCGATGTAATATTTAAAACATGAGGATTGACAAGAACACTTATAAGATATTTCCAAATGCACACACTCTCGATATCTCTTGCTTCATGAACTATGATCATATTTATAGGATCTAATGGTAACTATCTCACTCAAGGTAGTTATTGAAACCACCCTATAACTATTAGATCATGATTAAGGTAGTTATTGAAACCACCCTATAACTACTAGATCATGATAACTATCTAGATAACTATGAATCAAATCTCAACACTCCCCCTTGATTCATAATTTTATACACTCCCCCTTGATTCATAGTTTCATACACCGATTTACGATATGAAATAAATATGCTTTTGAATGACTTGGTGAGGATATCCGTAACTTGTTCATTTGTTCTACAATACTTCAATGTTATAGCTCCACTCGCTATAAGACCTCGGATGAAATGATAGCGTATCTCTATATGCTTCGTTCTTCCATGAAACGTTGGATTCTTCGTCATTGCAATTGTGGCTTTATTGTCACAAAATATTTCCATTGCTTCTTTTTATTCTTGATGAAGATATTTAAGAAGTCTTCTAAGCCATATTGCTTGACAAGTTGCTGATGTTGCGGCTACATATTCTGCTTCCGATGTCGACAACGCAGTTGTTGCTTGCTTTTTAGAACTCCAAGATATAGCTCCTGATCCGAGGCTAAAAACATTGCCTGAAGTACTCTTTCGATCATCTAAACCTCCTGTCCAATCACTATCAGTGAAACCAAATAATTTACAATTAAAATTATGAGAATACCAAATACCATAATCTGTAGTTCCAGTAATATAACGTAGAATTCTTTTAACAGCTCCGAGATGATGTTTGCTTGGGCTATGTATAAACCTGAATACTACACCAACAAAGAATGCAATATCTGGTCGAGTATGAGTTAGATAAATCAAACCTCCAACCAAACTTTTGTAGTATCTTACGTTTGTTAAACTTGTACCATCATGTTAGATTTTTTGAGTAGATTCATTGCATACTTTCTTTGTGAAATAAAAATTCCATCTGATCCTTGCTTCACTTCTAACCCAAGAAAATAGTGCAATAGACCTAGATCCGACATTTCAAAACTATTCATTATGCAGTTTTTAAATTCTACTACAAAAGAGTTAGATGAACCCATATATATAATATCGTCAACATAGAGGCAAACCATTAGAATATTATGTTCACATTCCTTCTTTAAATAAATAGTAGGTTCATTATTGCTCATTTTAAATATATTTTTGAAGAAAATAATAATTAATTTTACTGTACCATGCCCTTGAAGCTTGTTTAAGCTCATAAAGAGCTTTTCTTAGCTTATACACCTTTTTTTTCATGTCCTTTAACCAAAAAACCTTCAAGTTGAGCAACAAAAAACTCTTCGTGTAAATCTCCATTTAAAAATGCAGATTTCACATCAAATTGATAAACAGGCCAACTCAAGTGAGTAGCTAAAGCCAAGAAAGTTCTCACGGTTTCGAATCTAACAATTGGAGAAAAAGTATCATCAAAATCAATACCTTATTGTTGTGAATATTCTTTTGCTATAAGCTGTGCCTTATGCTTTTGGATACTTCCATTTGTATTAAACTTTTTTTTGAATACCCATTTTAATCCAATAACTTTCTTTTCTTTCGGTAGATCCATTAGCTCCCAAGTTTTATTGTTCTCAATTGACTTGATTTCCTCCTTCATTGCTTTTCTCCATTCTTCTTTTTCAACTACTTTCTCAAAAGTTGTTGGATCTGAAATAAACAACGCAAATGTTGAGTCATAAATTTCTGTTAGTGATCTGAAATTTCTTGGAGGGGTTTCATCTGAGGAATCAGAATTTGAACTGCTACTTGGTGAGGTTAACAATAAACTTGTTGGAGCAGAATCTGTCATTTGATTCTACGGAGTATCTAGTTCTGCTAGAATCTGTATTTGTGTTCCACCTTTATTAGTCTCCCAATTCCAACTTGTCCTTTCATCAAACATAACATTTCTGTTAATAATAACTTTGCCAATAGGGATATATAATCGATATGCTTTCGATTGTAAGGAATAACCAATTAAGATGTATTTTTTAGATTTTTTATCAAGCTTGTGATGATTTTGTAAATTCACTAAAGCATAAGCAATACAACAAAAAATTCTTAGATGTCTAACATTTGGTTTCATACGATACCATACCAGGCCTCAAAAGGAGTTTGATTCATAACAGCCTTTGTTGGTGAAATATTCAACAAATAAACTGCCAACTACTTCTGCCCAAAACTGATTTGGAATTTATTTTCCTTTAAGCAAACTTCTTACCATTTCAACAACAGTCTAATTCTTACGCTCAGTTACACCATTTTGCTCCGATGTATATGGTATTATCAATTTTCTATGAATACCATTTTCTTCACAAAAATAATTAAACTCATTAGATAAAAATTCACCACCTCTATCTATCTAAAGTGTCTTTATATATCTATCACTTTACCTTTCTACAAGTGCATTGAATTTTCAAAAATTATCAAATGTTTCAGATTTTAGTTTCAGAAAATATACCCAACTCATGCGGCTATAATCATTAGTAAACAATAAAAAATATTGAATTTCACCAAATGATTTTGTATTCATAGGTCCACATAAGTCAGTATGAATTAATTCAAGACAATTAAATTAAATGCTCTCCATGCTTTTCTAATAGGAAATGGTTTTTTACTTTTTTTGCCATAAATGCATCCTTTACCTACATCAAGTGTATTAATTTTGGACAATCCGAAAACCATTCTTTTTTGACTTAACAACCTTAAACCCTTAATGTTAAGGTGTTCATATCTTAAATATCATAAATTAGACTCATTCTTTTGAGTTACGATAAGCACATGCCTTTCAATATTTGACACATCAAGTGAAAACATCTTGTTTTGCATCATGAAAATATTTACTATAATCAAACCAGACTTTTTATCTTTAATAGTGCATGAACCATCATCAAATATAACCGAATATCCATCATCTATCAATTGTCTAACACTCAACAAGTTATGTGATAAAGTAGGAACAAAGAAAATATTATCAAGGTATTTTACCTTCCCTTGATTTGTCTTCACCTCAATTGTTCATTTTCCTTCAACTTGGATTTGCTTGTTATTTCCAAGTCTAACTTTCAACTTGTGAGTTTCATCAATATCTCTAAATATTAATTTTATGCCTGACATATGATTAGAACATCCACTATCTAGAAACCAAATATTATTTGAGATATCATAAACTTGTGAATAAGTAATAAACAACTTACTATTTTCTTCATTTTCCTCTACATAGCTTGCTTGCTTTTTTCTTTTCCAGCAATATGCTTTCATGTGACCAAACTTTTTACAATAGTGACATTGAATTCCACTCTTGTAATTTTTTTTATCATAATTTGATTGCCTTTGTTCATCATGCCCATCAAAGTGTCCTCTTCATCTTCCTTTTTTATTTCCTCTACCACAAAATCTTCCTCTGCCACGTCATCTTCCTATTGATTTTTTTATCTTCTTTTGAAGTAGAAGACTCTCCCTTAACCTGAAATATTTTTTCTTCACTTTTTTCAAGTGACCTGTTCAACCTTGCTTCATGTGCTTGCAAGGAACTCATTAGTTCATCAAATAAATATGTAGATAAATCTTTTGACTCCTCAATTGCGGTAACAACATGATCAAATTTTGGAGTTAAACTTCTCAAAACTTTTGCAACAATTATATGATCAGGAAGATGTTTACTATAATATTTTATTTGACTAACAATTTCAGTCACTCGAGAAAGAAAATCTTGTATCGATTCATTGCTTTTCATGAACAAAATTTCAAACTCACAACGAGGAGTTTGAAGTTTTACCGTAATCACCTTTGATGAGCTTTGAAATTCATTTTGAAGTATCAACCAGCTTACTTTGAGGTTGTCGCTACTCCAATTTTTAAGAAGATTGTCTCATGTACAACTTGTTGAATGAAGAACAATACCTTTAAGTCCTTCTTTCTATTCTCCCTCAGCTTAATTTCATCATTTGAATCCGCATATCTATTCTCTATTAAGTCTCAAAGATCTTGAGACTTGAATAGAGTTTTCATCTTGATACTCCAAAATTTATAGCATTTGCCTGAGAAGATGGGAATAAGGGGTTGAGACATGAAATTACCATTGAAAGCCATAATGCCCAGTTTAGATTGAAACTATGCTCTGATACCATAAATGTTGGGGATGGAGGAGCAAGGAAATGATAAAACAAAATTCTACGATGCAATTAAAAAGGAATCCTTTCGATTCAGGAAAAGCGATGTAGTATTTAAAACAGGAGGATTAACAAGAACACTTATAAGATATTCCCAAGTGCACACACTCTCTATATCTCTTGCTTCATGAACTATGGTCCTATTTATAGGACCTAGTGGTAACTATCTCTCCCCATGCCACCCATGAGTGAGGTAGTTATTGAAACCATCATATAACTACTAGATCATGATAACTACCTAGATAGCTATGAATCAAATCTCAATACTAAGTAGTGGTATACATACATGTTCTATATATATATATATATATATATAATAAAATGAGGATATTCAGTGCCTGATGCTTTCATCAGATCTGAATATATATATATATATATATATATATATATATATATATATATATATATATATATATATATATATATATATATGTATATATATATATATATATATATATATATATATATATATATGTATATATATATATATATATATATATATATATATATATATATATATATATATATGTATATATATATATATATGTATATA